AGTTACTGGGAGCCCGGGTGGAGCACTTGAGCGTCCTTCCCAGATTGCAGGGGGGCAGGTCATCCCCTCCGGCACAGGTAGGTGCAGGCAGTCATCTCCTACCCCCCAGCACACAGCCCCTCTCCTCCACCTGCAGGTGGGGTCTGCTGGCTCCAGCAGGGCTTGGAGGCCACCTGCAGCTTGGTCCTGCGAACGCACGTGAGTCAGGCGGACTGCTGTGCTTCGGGTAGCGTGGACACTGCCTGGTCCAACATCAGCCACCCCAGCAACAAGATCAGCCTGCTGGGCCTCCTGGGCCTTGTCCACTGCCTGCCCTGCAAAGGTGAGGCTGGGCAGCTGAAGGGCAGGTGTACTAGGCTCCAGACCAGTCAAACCAATGTCAGTGTGGGGAGGGGGACAGGTGGGTGTAGAGGGAGGTTTAGCTCAGAGGCGACCCAGGGTGGTTGGCATTGGCCCCGGAGTTTCGGGGGCTCCCGGGACTGGTACATTTCCCCCCTGCCCTCACCTAGCAAAGGTGTACTGGATTCATACCTGACTTTTTGGGAAGGTGGGTTCCTGCCTGGTTCCGGGGTGCTGTGGAGGGGATGGCGCCCGTATGTTAACAAGGCGGAGCCTGAGAAATGCTGCCTCCCTCAGTGGACTGCGAGCTCTGCCTACACCATGAGACTAGGTGTCCCCAGAGCAGATAAAAAGATGTGGTTGGTTGCCAGGGAGGGGCTGAGGGTGCTGGACCTGCAGGGGCTGGGGGGAGGGTCTGTAGGTGGGCATTGGAGTTCTGGTCTTGGGGGATGATGAGGAGTTTGCCCACTAGATCAAGAGCCTCAAAGGAGGCCGAGGTGTTGGGTGGGGGCGCCAGCAGGGGGCAGGTGCTCTGGGCTGGAGACTTGCTGGCCAGCTGGAATGTGACCAGTCCCTGCCGGTGGTCCTGGACTCTCTGCCTGCGCCTTAGTGCTCTCCAGACCCCTCTCTCGCTTTGGATGGGGGTGGGGGCGGGACAGGGAGGCCAGACTTCAAAAAGTGCCTGGCCTGGGCACAAGATACCCAGGACATTCCCCCACTCCCCATCTGGCTCTGCTGCCCCCCTCCCGCCCCCCCTTCCGTTTTTGCTTGCAAGAGGCCCGCACGCGAGTGTTTCCAGATGTGGGCGTGGGCGGGCAGCGTGGGAGGGCCCAGGTGCGGCCCACATGCCCAGGCTGGGGAGCCACGAAGTGGGGGGCCCGCATGCTGTGCGGCCAGCGACGCTGGCCATGGTCCCCTCGTGTCATGCTGTGGGGCTCCCTGGGAGGTGAGCGTCCCCATCAGCCTCATTTGCCTCAGTGCAAACCCTGGTGGTGCTTGTGGTCATAACTCTAAACTCCAGCCCCAAACCACCGAGTTGGGGAGGAGTTTGTGCTGCAGCTTGCGTGCTGAAGTCACGCCCCCTGCACGCAAGCCCTGCCTCCGTTTCTAGGTCTGCAAAGTGGGGGTAAGAACCACATCAAGGGCACAAGTCTGCATTTCCAACAGGGGCGGAACCCCACGGAAAGACTTCCCTTTGCTGGGTCTCAATTTTCCCACCTGCGAAACGAGTCTGGGGACAGGCGACCCCTGTTCCAGCGGTGCGCTCTGGCTGTGGACGAGCCCCTCCCCAGCAAAAGCGCTCAGGCCTGCGTCAGCCCTACCATTGGGCCTCCTGGGAGGTCCTGGCAGCGGGTGGCTTCTCCCAAGACCCGCGCCCCTCCCCCTTTCTCTGACGCAGCCGGACCCCTGCCGGCCTTCCCAGAAACACGTGTAAGTCAGAGAACAGGCGTCAACCAGAGCAGGGGGGCCCTGCACGAAGGGGACCCAGGATGAGGGCCGGAGAGTCAGAGGTTGCCCCTGAACCCCGGAACGCCAGAAGGGGTCCCCCGCCTCCAGCCCTGTCCCACGACCGCAGTGGGCCTGGTCCCCGCGCGACACCCCAGCTCTGAAGCGTGGGAGCGCCGTGGGACCCGAGGACCTCCCCTCCCCAGCTCACGCGGGCGTGTCGCGTGTCCACAGATTCGTGCGAGGGCGTGGAGTGCGGCCCGGGCAAGGCCTGCCGCATGCTGGGGGGCCGCCCGCGCTGCGAGTGCGCCCCCGACTGCACTGGGCTCCCCGCGCGCCTGCAGGTCTGCGGCTCGGACGGCGCCACCTATCGCGACGAGTGCGAGTTGCGCGCCGCGCGCTGCCGAGGCCACCCGGACCTGCGCGTCATGTACCTTGGGCACTGCCGCAGTACGTAGGGGTGGGGCGGAGCTTGTGGGGGGCATCGGGGGCTGGAACCCGGCGTGGCGGAGGTCCCGGGGTTCGGCCCTGACGCCCCGCGGTCCGCAGAGTCGTGCGCGAACGTGGTGTGCCCGCAGCCGCAGTCGTGCGTGGTGGACCAGACGGGCAGCGCGCACTGTGTACTGTGCCGCTCGGCGCCCTGCCCGCTGCCCTCCAGCCCGGGCCAGGAGCTTTGCGGCAACAACAACGTCACCTACATCTCCTCGTGCCACCTCCGCCAGGCCACCTGCTTCCTGGGCCGCTCCATCGGCGTGCGCCACCCGGGCAGCTGCTTAGGTGCGCGCACTCGCGGGCGCAGGCTTGTGGGGCGCGCGGGGCTGTCCTGGGGGCGGAGGTCGCCCCTGCTCCTGGACCCTGGCCCAGCTTCTGTCTCTTGCAGGCCCGCCCCAGCTGTCCCTTGCTGAGTCAGAAGAAGAGAACTTCGTGTGAGGGGGGCAGGCCCGGCCCGGAGTTCGAGGCTGTCCTTGGTTTATTTATTGCCACAACAGAGTTTAATTTATGTCCCACGGACACTTGGCTCCGCAGCTCGCCCACACGCCAGCAGCTTGGAAGGAGGCCTGAGGGGTGTGGGCAGTGTGCGGCCTAGATCTGCCTTTGGCCACTTAGCCAGGAAACCCTGCCGCGAGGCCCCCTTCCGCCCTGGAGGACCCCAGACTTCTCCTGTGCTCCCTCACACCCTCCCCCAGCCCAGGAGCTAGGATTAATTGCCCTCACTTGGCACTTCCATCTGGGGCTTACTGGTCCCGGGAAGGACTTCCAGATCTGCCCACTGAGCCTGGCCCATGATACAGCACCTGAGGCCAGACTGACCGGGAACAGTGGGCCCCATCAGCCCAATCTCAGATGCCCACTCTCTACGCTGACTCCGTTTCCCCACCACCCAGCTGGGGCTCCTGGGAAGGGGGTGAGGTCCCTGGCCCAGGTTGGGGTGTCAGCACAGGGGCCTACCCTATCACCACATGATGTCACCAAACCAGGTTCCCAGGGTAGGGGCCCAGAGTGCCCACAGTGTGTGCCCTGGCCGAAGCTGCAGACCCAGTGAGTCCAGAGCACCAGCCCCTTGTCCGACCGAAGTCCCTTGTCACCCTGTGCCTTTGTGTCCACAGGAGGCTCAGCCTGGAAATGGGGGTTGTGGGGGGTCCATGGGGTGCAGGGTCTGTGTTTATCACCTTCCTTGGGTCCCCCAGAGGTGTCTTCCCAATGATGTCCAGATAGCACCCTTGGAGCTAGGGAGCTTCCCCAGGCCCCCCAACAAGGCACCCCCACCCTGAGGTGCTGTCTCACCAAAGAAATAAAGACTGAAAAGCCACCTAGGGGTGTCAGACCCCAGTTTGCCTCCTGTCTCTGAATCTCAGTGCTACTGCCCTTTGGCTGGGGGTGGTGGAGTGGGGGAGGGTTCTGGTCGGCCTGGAGTGGTAAGGTCTGAAGCAAACAGGCATGAGGACAGTGGATAGCCATGGCCTTGGGTTGTGGCTATCCTTGGCCTTCCTCTGGGCCTCAGTGTCTCCCTCGGGGCAGTGAGTCCAGGGAGGGGCGAAGGGCAGTAGAAAAGAGGCCTCTAGGGGGTGGGATGGGGAAGGGGCATCAAGATGGTTTGGAGGCTCCCCAAGGAGCCAGCTCTGGTCCAGGACCTCCAAATGGGGGCTAGCAAGGGAGCACAGGTAGACCACTCCTTCGAAGCAAGGATGGCAAGACTTCATCTCACGTACTTTGGACAGGTGGTCAGGAGACACCAGTCCCTGGAGAAGGACATCGTGCTTGGTAAAGAGGAGGAGCAGCGACAAAGAGCAAGGCCGTCCACAAGATGGACGGACACCGTGGTTGCAACAATGGGTCTCCAACCTGACAAGTGTGGGTGTGCTCTGTTGTGCAGAGGGCTGCTAAGAGTCAGAACTAGCTGGCTGGCACCTGACAGCAGCAGCAGGAGCCTTCGTGGAGTAGTGGTTATGCATTGGGCTGCTAACTGTGAGGTCAGTCGTTCAAAGCCACCAGTCCCTCTAAGGGAGAAAGAAGAGACTGCTTCCATAAAGAGTTCTTGGAAATCCACAGGGGCTGTTCTCCCCTGTCCTGCAGGGTCACTGAGTCAGCAACCACTCGCTGGAATTGAGAACAAAAACAAAGGATGGGCGTGTGTCACAGTAATCATATTAACAACAATGCTGCAAGCATTTTCCAAAGGATGGGGTGCCCCCGCCCAGATCCCACACTGGAGACAGACCCCACTGGTGGCCGAGTCTCGCTACAGGGCAGGGGGTGGGGACCCACAGAAAATTCCTCACCCTTTACCAGCCTTGGTCTTGTCTGTCTGTACACAGGTGTAGAGAGTGGGCTGCAGGATCAGGATGCAGGCAGGTGGAACAGCAGGTGCAGAGGTTAGGAGGCAGCAAGGACCCCAGGGCCAGTCAGTGTGGGGTGTCACCTGCTCATGCTATTGACCCTACTCTGGCTCACAGTGGCCCTATTGGACAGAGTAGGACTGATCTGGAGTTGCCTGCATTATTGGTCTTTATGGGTGCAGATAGCTTCCTCTGTCTTGCAAGAAGCGTTGGTGGGTTTGAACTGCTGGCCTTGAGGTAAGCAGCCCAACACTCGCCCACCACCCCACCAGAGTTCCTTGGGGGTAGGTAATCCAGGCAGGCAGAGGGGGCACCCAGCCCAGACAGAGCAGGCATGGCTAGGGCCTGGAGTTCTGGGTGAAGTTGTGGGAGGAAGTGAGCAAGGCCAGGTGAAGTTCCAGAGACCAGTGGACGCTGGAGGGGCAGTGGGGGCTGGGCTCTGCCACCTTGCAACGGGTCACTTAGCACTTTATTCAGACTCATGGTACTCTGCTTCGTTTCGACTGGACACTCCTGCCCAGCGGCTTCAGGGGGGTTTGGAGCTCTACCGATCCACACGGCAGCCCCAACCATGGCGTATTTAACCATCATTGGCCCAGGGGAGCAGGGGTGCTGCAGGGGGGGGTGTCCCTGAGGTTACTGCTGGATCACGCCCCAGATCCAAGTCACAAAGGCAGAGACCTGTGTGTACACGTCAGGGTACTTGGGGTCCCCACACCACAAGCCAGAGAAGGAGACCAGGCCATGAGCCCTGCTGCCACACACCAAGGGTCCCCCGGAGTCCGCCTGGGGATGGAGAGAAGGAAAGGTCAGGGCCCCAGCTTCCAGGAAGGAACTAGTCATGATTCTCCTGGTTGCCAAGTGCTTCCAGGGCCCCCTAGGGTTCTTCAAACAAAAACTTTTGGATGAGTCAAAAGGGAGGTCAAATGATAAGGTGTTACATTTTAACCTAACTATACCTGTCACCATCAACTTTACAATGCTCCCTATCTGATAACAAGGGCTGGTCACCACCCTAGACTGTGGTCAGAGGGGATTCACCTGAGGAGGCTTAATCCACCTGGGAACCTTGCAAATGGATTTGGGGCTTTCCCTGTCGTCCGGAGCCTTCTGCAAACCAGGTGCTCACAATGAAAGCTCTGACCCCACGCTCTCCTTCGGACTTGGATTTTATTATTTACAATCCTTGGATCACACAGTCTGCTGTGCTGCTTCCACGTGAACCTAAGGCTCCCTAGGGTCCTTGAGGCAAAGACTAAGCTCCTCAGCCTCACTGGCCTCTCACCCCTCTTGCGCCCGAAGTACACACTACCTGCCTCTGTAGCTGTGCGCTTGAGTTCGTTTTGGGGGGGTTGAGACTTGGGGTTTGAGGCCTGTTAGGCCACGGGAGTGTAACTCCACTGGGAAGCCGCGTGGGGTCTGCACCCACCCGCTCACGCAGTGCCAGGACCTTCGGGTCTCGGCCGGCTTTGGGTCTAAGTCGAGCGGAGTGGCTTCTGCCACCGCCCTCTGCTGGACAGTCCTCGCAATAGCCACCAGACAGGTGGCTTTTCGAGGTCGGCCCCCTGCTCCCAGTCCCGCGGCCGTCCGCGAGCCCCTGCACTGCCGGGCCTCATCGCCTCCCTGGGGCAGACGGGAGGGGGTCTCACCGAGCAGAAGCCGCGTCGCCGGCTGTCCCCGCTGCGGGCGCAGAGCATGGCAGGGCGCAGCCGGCCGCTCCAGGAATTGTTGCAGGTGTCTGAGCCCAGCACGCGGACCTTGGCCTCCATCAGCCCTGGGGGCAGGTCCTGGAAGTCGGACACGGCGCCCCAGCCGTTCACCTGGCACCATGCACCAGCCTTAGGCGGCCGGGCACCCCTCCGCGGCAGCTTCAGCAGCCCCACAGCTCCGCCCAGGGCAGCAGAGACATTCAGCTGTAGGGAGAGGCCTTGCCTCAGTTCCTGGGAAGGGGGTGGGGGTGGGGGTGCCACACACAGTTGTTCCTGCCTCAGTTTACCCATCTGTGGCATCGGGTCTCTTCCACTCCATGGAAGCGACCACCAAGCTCAGAGCCCTTCCCTCCTACCTCCGCCCTCCTCCCCCAGCCCCCACTGCTGTTGTTCGTAGGTACGATGGAGTTGATTCTGACGCATAGCGACCCTATCCTGCGACACCCTCACAACTGGTCCTGTGTCTGAGTCCACGGCTGCAGCCAGGTGTCTGGTGGCTGTATCACCTCCTAATCCCGGCCTCCTCCCCAAACTATAAACCTTCCCATAGCTCCCCATTGCCCTTGGGCCAAAGGCCACCACTCAAGTGGTGGCCTGCAGCTCAGTCAGGATGAATCAGCTGGTGCTCCCTGGACGGTCCACTCACCCTATCCTCCCTTCCAGAGGCTCCCGTCCAGCCTCTAGGAAGACCTCCCAGAATCCCTGGTTCTTCCTATAGGCTCCCCCTCTGCCCCCGGCCCCGACAGAAGATGTTTTACCTGGCTGCCACCCGGGTACTCTGTGGCTCTGTGGGTGCTGGTGTGGGGCACAGTGGGAGGTCAGCCAGTGGCCATGGACCCCAGCTTAGGTCATCATTATGTGACCTTGGGCATGTCCTTCAGCCCCCCTCTCCCCATCCGCAACCATTGGTCAAATCAGAGGAGTGGGTTCCCAGATTTAGGGTTTCACCAACAAGGAGATGAAGCTAGAGCAGGGACCTCGGTGTCAGGAGACGCTTGTCACCCTCGGGTGTCGGGAGGAGGTGGGAGCCACAGAGGGTTCTGGACCGAGGAGGGAGGTGACCTGACTCAGGATCCCTCCTGCCCTTTGTGAGACTTAAGCCAGGCTTGGCAGGTGGTCCGGGAGTGGCCAGAGCTGTGGCCCAGGCACCGGTGATCCCCCTGCCTCTGCCCCTGTCCCCGTCCCCATCCCAGTGGCAGGCCCACCTTCAGCAGACAGATGTCGTTGGCGTGGGTGGACGGCTGGTAGTCGGGGTGGGTGAAGGCGTCCTGGATGCTAAAGACCTGCTGTGTGGTCTCTGCCACTCGGAGGTCATGGGCCCCCAGCACCACCAGGCCTGCCAGGGGATCCCTGCGGAGGGGGAGCAGGGGTGGGGGGGTGAAGACTGCCTGACACAGCCTCAGTCTCCCCATCCGTAATTGGGGGTGCAGGAGCCTAGTGCATCCTCCTTCCCCCAGCCCCCCAGCAGACCATCCTTTGCAAGGCAGCTCACGCATACTGTGAACAGAAACCCCTGAGGGCACATGGGGTATTTACTGCCCCTATTGCCAGGCCCCTATCGCCACCCCCACTCCCCTTACATTAATGACGAAACCAAGAACCAAACTGGCTGCCATGCTGACAGCGCCCCTGTGGGATTCCGAGGCTGTAACTGTTGATGGGAAAGAAAGCTCCATCCGTCTGGTGGTTTCGAACTGCCGTCCATGAGGATCACAGCCCAACACCTAACCTCGGTGCTACCATGACTGTCAGTGTGATATCGATGACAGTAGTTGCCATACTAATTCCTACGCAATCTCACAAGTAGGATCCTTGTACCGGCTACCATTCCTGCCGCTGGACTCTGGTCGCAGCAACTGTTGCCCTGTTGCTCTGGAAACACAGGCGTCTCATCACTAAGAGTCGTTTCCAACTCAGGGTGACCCAATGTCGGAGCCGGGGTGACGCATGGGGTGCTCACTGGTCAGCAGTTAGGAACTGCCAGTCTGGGGAGCCCAGTACTACTTTGTTCTATAGGGTTCTATAGGGTCGCTCGGCATCGGAATTGGCTGGACAGCAGGGAGGTGAGTGATCGGTGGGGCAGAAGGAGGCCACCTTGAGATTTCTAGGTTGTCATCTTTCTGGGGCTTTTTCTCCTGGGGAGACCCTGGGCGGGGGCGTCCGAAGTGCTTAATGATTGCGTTACCCAATCTAGCTGCCACCGGGTCAATTCTGACTCTCAGCAACCCGTAAGACAGGGCAGAGCAGCCCCCGGGGGTTGCCGTGAATCTTGAGTGCAGCAGAAAACCTCGTCTTTCTTCCAAGGAGCGGATGGTGGTTTCGAACCGCTGACCCTGGGCATGACAGCCCAACGTGTAACCCAAGATGACTCCAGGGCTCCTTGGAAGTATACTCAGACTGAATCCGATCATTACTGTACTTGCTCCCGTTCCCACCTCAGTTGTGGGACAAAGGACAAGAGTTGCAGCCTGGTGATGGCGAGGTATTTACAGGTTGGAGAACTGTTGGTCCCACTGGTGGCACAAACAGTTAAGCGCTCGACTCGTAGTGAAAGGGCTGGTGTTTGGAACCCACGCAGAGGGGCCTCAGCTGAGAGGCCTGTGCTCTGCTTCCAAAGGGGCCCCATGTGGGGTTGCCATGCGGCAGAATCGTAGCCACAAACAAACCCCCTCCTGCATGAAATGGCCAGTGCTCCAAGCCCCTAGCTGGCAGGAGCCCAGCCCCTCCCACACGTGTGGCCCCTCCTCCCCTGCCGTTGAGGGTCCTGAGCTAACACATGGGCTCACCTGTCTTTGATGCAGTGGGCGGCCGAGACCACCCACCGGGCTCGGAGCAGGAAGCCTCCACAGTGGTGCTGGCCTTGGAAACGCAGGGACGCCATGTAGGGGCGGGAGTGGGGGGCCACCTCATGGCCCCCAATGATGCGGGCCCCCCAGGAGCCTGTAGGGAGCGGGGCAGTGTTGGAGGCTGGCACAAAGAAGGGATCATGGGCATGCGTGTGAGAAGGTAGAGTTGGGGAAGAAAGTGACAGATAAGAGACAGAGAGACACACGCAGAAAGAGACAAGGGTGCAGGTACACAGGCAGACGGAAACAGAGACAGACACAGAGCGACAGGCACAGACAGAGAGCAATACATAGACTCAGAGAAAGACAGACCCGGAGAGATAGAGAACTAGACACAGAGATAGACAGAGAGATAGAGACACAGAGCAGACACACAGAAGTAGACAAGCAAATACAGAGAGACAGGCAGACACAGGGACAGCTGAGGTCTCGGGTGCCGAGGCAAATCCTTTGAGTGTGTGGGCGGGGGCCTGGTACCCAAGAGACCTGGTCTTGCTGACCCCACTGTCTACAGGGGCACCCAGCGGTCTGAGTGGCTGGACCAGGAGGCGACTGGGCTGGGGATGGGGTCCTCACCAGGGGGTCTCGTGAGCAGTATCAGGGTGCTGGTGGCCACGGACAGCAGCAGGCAGCCCCCAGCCCCAGCCCAGGACCCCATGGCTGTCCTGGCAGCATCTACCGCCAAGGTCTCTGGGCCAAGGCTCCACCCCTTCCCAACGGCCGGAAGGGGCACCACCAACTGCCCTGTGGTCTGTGGTCCCCTGAGGGGCCCAGTCTCCACAAGGTTTCTGAGAACCGAGGATTGGGCCACAGGGGCCTCAGGGGGGTCTCACGGGGTGGGGGTCGGCAGTGGAGAGAGTGGGTCCTGGGAAGTCCCTTAACCTCTTGTGCCTCAGTTTCCCAGCATTAGCCCGCTCAGCCTGCAGCACGGGACACACAGTCGGTGCCCTGTGACTGCACGGCAGCCTCCCAGGATTGCTGGAGCCGGTCCCCACCTGCTGGAGACGCAGCCCTGGGGGAGCTTTGGATTCCCCCTCTGCCAACCCAGCACGGCCCACAGGGCAGTGAGGACACTCAGGGCATGCACGGTGATGACTCCTGCCTGTAGGATTGACCGAGCCTCCACTGTGGACCATATCCTGGGCGAGACACCCCCACCCCAGGAGTGAGGGTGGCGTGGAGCAGGACGGTGCTGTGGGCCATTCTGCTGGCCACAGAGATGCTTCCTAGGACCAAGTGGCCCCTGTCCTCATGGCTCAAGGTGTGGTGGGCTGAGGGGCCTTCCCTGAGATGTAACCCCTCCTACCATTGCCTTTTCCGTTTACCAGTGAGGATCCTGGGCAAGGCACCTCCCTCCTGGGGGGCCAAGAGCTGCCCTACTCTGCCTCCTGGAGAGGAGTACAGCCCCCCCCCCACTCATGACCCAGGGTGACCCCAAGGAGCTGGTGGAGGGTGATGGTGGTGGGGTCTGGGCATGGCGCATGGCTGCCACAGCACCTGCTTAGGGCTCAAGGCTGAACTGTGGCCTTGAATGGTTGAGAGGGGCTGAGAAGTCGATGTGTGTGTGGAGGGGGGTCATTCCAGCCTCTCATGGGGGCTGAGGGGCAGGGGCGACTTCTGTGGCCCACCACAAGGGTGGGGGCCATGCGAGATTGGAGGGCATTTGAGGATCCAAGGAAAGTAGGCTGGGTGGAGGAGGGCGGAGGGGAATAAGGAGCTGATATCAAGGGCTCAAGCAGAAAGAAAACGCTTTGAGAACGATGATGGCAACAGATGTACAAACGTGCTTGACACAATGGATGGATGGATGGATTGTAATAAGAATTGTACGAACCCCCAATAAAATGATTTTTTAAAAAGACAGGAAGGAAGGAAGTAGGCTTGGCGCGGTGCGGCACAGGCAGAAAGGTTTTATTTGCGGTCAGAGCCCCCTCCCCCACTTAGTAGTGCAGCAGCACGTCTCGGATCCAGAACACGAAAGTGGAGACTCGCGCGTAGACGTCCGGGTGGCGGGCGTCCCCGCACAGCGACGACGAGAAGGACACAAGGCCGGCTAGCTGGCCTCGGCACAGGAGGGGGCCGCCGGAGTCGCCCTGCGGGGAGGGCGGGGACTGAGATGCAGGGCCAAGTGGGCTGCGCCCCCTGCCCCACCCCCAGGGCTCTGGGCCGGCCGCTCACCCCGCACACGCCTCGCCGGTCCCTGGAGCGCGCGGAGGCGCACAGCATGTCCACCGTCAGGGCGCCGCCCCAGGACGCATTGCAGGGGTCGCGAGGCTGGACGACCACGGCAGCCTCCAGGAGCGCGGCCGGCGGGTCATCCTGACCCGTGGTGTCGCCCCAGCCTGTCACCCGGCACCTAGTGCCTGGTCGCAGAACCAGGCTCGGGTAGGGCAAGGCCGCCGGGCGCACGGAACTGGTGAGCTGGGCGGAGGCGTTGAGCTGGAGGCGGGGCAGGGGGTGGGATGGGAGCGTCAGAGCCCGAGTCAGGAAATAACAATGTAGCAGCCCTGACAGGAGCGATGTTCCCGCAGATAACACCCCGTGCGCACCCCTCCCCCACCTGCACCGTGTGCACTGCCCCCCTCCCCTCCCCCCTTGCCGGCACCTTGAGGAGCTGCAGGTCGTGGGTGTCGAGCTGAGCGTCGTACAGCGGGTAGGGCACGGCTCTCTCTATGGTGAACACCTGCCACGTGCTTTCAGGCGTTTGCAGGGCGTGGGCCCCCAGCACCAACCTGAAGGCGCTGAGGTTCCTGCGTGGGCGGCCCAGGACAGCATGCGCTGGTCAGAGAGCCCCTAGCCCGCAGCCCACCCCCGGGGCCACCCGTCACTCACCCAGACACCTCGCAGTGCGCAGCCGTCAGCACCCAGCGAGGCCGCACCAGCACCGCCCCGCAGATGTGTTTCTCCCCCAGCTGCAGGGACGCCATGAAGGGTCTGGAGTGGGGTGCCACCTCTCGGCCCCCTACGATCCTGCTGCTGCCTCTCAGGGTGCCTGGGGACAAAGCCAGTGAGGACGGACGGTGAGGGGCTGCGGAAACCTTCGCCACCCAGCACGGACTTCGAGGGGCTCTGGTGGTAGACACACACACACACACACCCCGAGTTCAGGTCACCCATCTGCAGGCCCCCCTCTCTCGTGAGGTGCCCTGTCCACAGGTCCTGGGGGCGAGGGCACTGCCTGTCCTCACGTCATCCTGACGATGCTGATAGGGTCTTTTTCCCCAAGTAACGACCGGCACGGGAAGACACAGACGCAAAGAGGCTCTGGCCTTAGCCGGGGTCACACAGAGGGGGGTGTGTGGACAGGGTGGCCGCCTGAAACCACCTCCTGTTATTGCCACTGAGCCCCTCCCCTGACTCCCCCCTTTCCTTATCCTCTGGTGCCAGTTGTGAAACCCACAAATAACTGTTCCTCCTCACCGTTCAACCACACGCCCAGCTGCCCCAGGGGGTGGGTCAGGTTGGGGGAAGGCAGTACTTCCATTCCCTAAACTGAGGCCCTAAACTGAGATCCAGGCAAGGGCTAGCTTGGGCACGGGGTGGTGGGGCGCAGGGTGAGCCCAAGCCTCCTGATATAAGTTTGAAGGCCCTCCCTGGCCTCAGACGCTGGTCAGTCTGACCTGACAATGATGTAACAGTGAAACAGCAATCATGGCTCCTGCAGTGGGCTCGATGGTGTCCCAACCCCTCGGGGCCTGGCTTGGACACAGGGTCTTGGAGGCTGTTATTAACTGGGTTCAGTGAGACCTCGCTCATCTGAGCAAGGTGGCCCTCGTGAGAGCCGAGACACAGTGACGGGGAGGTTGGAGAGAGGCCGCCACAAGCCAAGGGTTGCTGCCCCCCTCAGAGCCCCGGGAGGACGAGGCCGGCTGACACCAGCTACCGCAGGGCCTGCCTGTGAGCTGTATTGTCACCAGAGCCGCTCCACCTGTGATTGTTGACGAGGCCAGCTCCTTATATATTGAGGGGTGAGCGCTGGCCCTGAGCAACCAACAAGACAGAAGACACAGCCTCCCTTGGCAGTCAGTTCCGATCCTGATCCTGATGATCTGCAGATGGGGAAACTGAGGCTGGGCCAGTGGAACTGGGTAGCACCATGGGATCCCAGGTGGCCCCCTCCCCACTTACCTGAGAGCACGGGGATGCCCAGAGCTGTGATGCATACCAGGAGGACCACAGGGGCTAGGGTTGCCTGCATGCTGCTCTGAGGGCTGGCCAGTCTGTGTGTGAGGCTGTGAGCTGGGGCACCTTCCTGCTGGATGCTCCCTTTGAGCGTCTGCCTGCCCCTCTTGGGGACTTGTGAAATGGGAGGTTACACAATGGCTCTTATTGGAGCTGGCCTGGAAAGGGGTGGCCAGGGACCAAGCAGGGGCAGGGCATGCAGGTGGTGTCCCTTGGCTGCCCTGGGCTAGGACAAGCAGCCGATGACCATCACTCAGCCTGGAGTGGGCATGTGGTCCAGTGCTCTGTACGTGGATAGCACAGTGGGAGCTGTGAGGGGGTGGAGGGAAGGGCCGGGGTTTTCAGTAAGGCACGTAGGAGGACCCAACACCTTCAACCAGGTACCCTTTTGTGTTCCAACGTGCCTGTGGGGTGCAGAGAGATGACCAGCGGGGAGGTAGGCCATGCTGTGGGGCACTGAGG